TGAAATTTTGTAATTTTTTCGATTTTTAAAATTTTTGAAAATTTCGGATTTTTAGATTTTTTTGAATTTTCAGATTTTAGGAATTTGCAGAATTTTCGGATTTTCGAATTTTTGGAAATTTGAAATTTTTAGAATTATCGAAATTTATTGTATTTTAGAATTTTCCAATTTTCAGGATTTTAAAATTTTTGAAATTTTCAGATTTTTGGATTTTTTTGGAAATTCAGGTTTTCGGAATATTCAAATTTTTAGGGATTTTTAGGGATTTTTGAAGTTTTCTGACTAAAATGAGCAATTCAGACCCCACGACGTTTCAGAACCGGTCATTTCGCAACCGCGACGTTTTAGAACCAGCTTTGGGACATTTCGCAACTCTGGTCGGTTCTAGAACGTCACGGTCGCGAAATGACCGGGGTTCTATGGCGTCCTGGACGTTCTGGCTGTTCGTTCCGCAGCTGGACGTTCTAGAACCGGTTGTTTCGCAACTGGACGGTTCTAGAACGTCGCGGTTCTGAAATGACCAGTTGCGAAACCACACAGAGCATGAAAATATGTCAAAAATCGTAAGAACTGAATCTACGACATTTCCCAACCGCCCATTTGGCAACTGACCGTTTCGCAACCATGACGTTTTAGAACTGCGACGTTTTAAAACTAGTCATTTCGTAACTGGACGTTCTAGAACTACCTTAAATAGTCCGGTTCTGAAACGTCACGGTTGCGAAATGACCGGTTCTAAAACGTCGCGGTTGCGAAATGACCGGTTCTGAAACGTCACGGTTGCGAAATGGCCGGTTCTAAAACGTCTCTGGCTCAGAATTGCTAATTTTTCATGATTTTTTCTCAAAATTTTACAAAAATTCTCAAATTTCAGGACGATGAATCGAACTGCTGCCTCGTGGATCGTGTGATTCCATCGCTCCGGAATTCCCTCCGGTCGTCTGTGAAACCATTTACCATTCCGGGAACCAGGAACGTCTTCCGGCCACAAGTATTCAGTTCCGTCTGTCTGTTTACGCCATTCATGAAGTTTGAGGAGACTTTTGTGAGTTTTTTCCACTTTTTTTTGGCTCAAAATTGGCTGGAAATCATGATAAATGGACCAAACATCGATTTTTGTTGCTGAAAAAGGCTTTAAAACTGCCAAAAATGGTCTAAAATAAGCTAAAAAAACCAAAATGACATTTCGCAACTGTGACATTTCGCAACTTTTGACATTTCGCAACTTTTGACATTTCGCAACTTTTGACATTTCGCAACTCTGACATTTCGCAACTGTGAGATTTCGCAACTTTTGACATTTCGCAGCTTTTGACATTTCGCAACTGTGACATTTCGCAACTATGACATTTTGCAACTGAGTCATTTCGCAACTGTGACATTTCGCAACTGTGACACCAAAACGAAAAAAAACTTTGAAACGACTCTACGATATTTCGCAACAAAGACGTTTTAGAACCAGTGATTTCGTTACTGGTTCTAAAACTTCCAGTTCTGAAATTACCGGTTCTAGAACGTCCGTCCCGTGGCGAAATGAACGGTTCCAGAATGTCCAATTGCAAAAAAAACCAGTTCTAGTCCCGGTTGCGAAATGACTGGTTCTAGAATGTCTGGGTACAGAACGATCAGTTGCGAAATGACACAGAACACTGAAATCGGTCCAAAATCATGACCGCGACGTTCTGCAACCGAACAGAGTTGCGAAACGTCCCCCAAAGCCATTTTTCATTATTTTGAGCCTCTTGCTATGATTTTTTCTGTCAATTTTGGGTCATTTCGCAACCCGGACATTTCGCAACCATGCCGAACCGACCAACGTTTCACAACTATGAAATTTCGCAACTGTGACATTTCGCAACTTTTGACATTTCGCAACTTTTGACATTTCGCAACTGCGACGTTTCGCAACTATGAAATTTCGCAACTGTGACATTTCGCAACATTTGACGTTTCGCAACTGCGACATTTCGCAACTTTTGACATTTCTCAACTGAGTCATTTCGCAACTGATACGTTTTGAAACTGACATTTCACAACTTTTGACATTTCGCAACTTTGACATTTCGCAGCTTTTGACATTTCGCAACTGCGACGTTTCGCAACTGAGACGTTTCGCAACTGCGACGTTTGGCAACTATGAAATTTCGCAACTGTGACATTTCGTAACTTTTGACATTTCGCAACTTTTGACATTTCGCAACTGCGACGTTTGAGAACTGGTCATTTTGCACTTGACCGGTTCTAAAACGTCGCGGTTGCGAAATAGTCCGACAGTGGTCCCGGCCATTTCGCAACCACGACGTTCTACAACCGACCAAAGTTGCGAAATGTCCCCCAAAGCCATTTGTCTCGAATTCTCGACCAATTTTGATGATTTTTCAGTCACTTTTCAGTCATTTCTCAACCCGGACATTTCGCAACCACGACGTTCTACAACCGTTGCGAAATGTCCTAAACCGATTTTGGACCATTTTTCCGGATTTTTTCACCAAAATGGCTCATTTTTCTCTATTTCAGACCCTGTGTCAAGGAGTCTTCGTCACCGAATCGAATGTGGACCAAGTGATTGAAAGTGTTGAGACGAAATTTGTGGAAATCTACAAACACCTCTTCACATTCTCCCGACCGATTCTCGAGCTATGGGGAAAACTGAAACGACGTCACAAACACAATAAGTTTGATTCGTTGTGCGAGAATGAGAGTGATGAGAGGACGAGACGAGACGCTGTCAAACAGGTGGGAGGTTTGGCTGAAAATGGGCTTAAATTGGGCTTAAAATGATCTAAAATGGGCAAAAATAGCTAAAAATGGTCCAAAAAGACAAAATTTTTGAGCCAAAAATGCCCTGCGAAATGGCTAGTTCTAGAACGTCGCGGTTCTGAAATGACCGGGGTTCTAATAAGGCGTCCTGGACATTTTGGCTGTTCGTTCCGCAACTGGACGTTCTAGAACCGGGTAATTTCGCAACTGGACTGTTCTAAAAGGTCTAGCTGCGAAATTACCGGTTCTATAACGTCGCGGTTCTGAAATGACCAGTTGCGAAACGACACAGAGCATGAAAATATGTCAAAAATCGTAAGAACTGCATCTACGACATTTCCCAACCGACAATTTCGCAACTGACCGTTTCGCAACTATGACATTTTATAACCGGACGTTTTGGAACTGACATTTTCGTAACTGGACGTTCTAGAACTATCTTGAATTGTCCGGTTGCGAAATGACCAGTTCTAAAACGTCGCTGTTTTGAAATGACTAGTTTTAAAACGTCAGGGTTGCGAAATGACCAGTTCTAGAACGCCCTAGACGGTGGTTCATTCTAAAACAGGTCGTTCTAGAACCGGTCATTCCGGAACCGGACATTTCGCAACTAGCTATTTCGCAACCGTTTGCGAAATGACTCTGGTCCCAGAACATATAGTTGCGAAACGACTGGTTCTGAAACGTCCTGTTGCCAAATGGTCAGTTCTAGAACGTCCGATTCTAAAACTTCGAGTTGCGAAATAGACAAAAAGTGAGCTTGAGCTTCACAACTTTTGACATTTCGCAACTGAGACGTTTCGCAACTATGAAATTTCGCAACTGTGACATTTCGCAACTTTTGACATTTCGCAATTAGACGTTCCAGAACCGCGACATTTTCGAACTGGTTATTTCGAAGTTGGAAGTTTTAGACGTGATCATTGTAGAACTAATTGCGAAATGACTCGTTCTAAAACGTCACAGTTGCGAAATGAACGAAAACGATCGATTTTTATAAATCTGAGTCATTTCGCAACTGGACATTATAGAACAGCGACGTTTTAGAACGGCGTTTTGAAAGGGTCCGGAAAGTTTTGAAACGTCGTCACAGTTTCAGAATGATAGTCCTAGAATGTCGTTGTTGCGAAATAAACGGTTCTAAAACGGTTCATTGTCGGACCATTTCGCAACCGCGACATTCCAGAACCGGTCAAGTGCAAAATGATCAGTGCTCAAACGTCGCAGTTGCGAATGGCAGAATTGTGAAATGTCACAGGTGCGAAACGTCTCAGTTGCGAAATGACTCAGTTGCGAAATGACCGGTTCTGACCGTTTCGCAACCATGAAGTTTTAGAATCAAACGTTTTAGAACTGACATTTTTGTAACTGGACGTTCTAGAACTATCTTGAATTGTCCGGTTGCGAAATGACCAGTTCTAAAACGTCGCTGTTTTGAAATGACTAGTTTTAAAACGTCAGGGTTGCGAAATGACCAGTTCTAGAACGCCCTAGACGGTGGTTCATTCTAAAACAGGACGTTCTAGAACCGGTCATTCCGGAACCGGACATTTCGCAACTAGCTATTTTGCAACCGGACCTTTGGCTGGTTTTAGAACGTCTCTGGTTGCGAAATGCACCCCAAACGTCTAGTTGCGAAGTGACTTGGTTCTAAAACATCCGGTTTCGAAATGACCAGTTCTTGAAGGTCCAGCTTCGATATGGCCGGTTCTAGAGCGTCCAGGTGCGAAATGACTAGTTCTAAAACGTCTTGGACCTTTTAGTACTATTTTGTGCAGCCGGAGGGTCTGAAACCGGTCATTCCGGAACCGGACATTTCGCAACTAGCCATTTCGCACACGGACGTTCTAGAACGTCTCTGGTTGCGAAACGTCCCTATCTCTGACTTTTCCCCAGAATCCCGACGAACCAGCGTTGACCGAATCCCCTGGACCTGCTGAAAAAGAAGCCGAGAGAGATCCCAATTGCTCAGCATTAAATCACGGTGACGGTGGCGACGAAGACCCGCCGGGGATGAGTATAATGGATATGAAACGTGGCATTTGGACGGCGACAGAGAGGAAAGAGGACACGAAACAGTTGTCGTTCGCTTCGGATAAGAGCTACGTGGCACCGGACTGGTCGTTGATATTCATGTTGAGAATGGGACTGCTACAGATTCAGATGCTACCTGAGAACACGCAGAGCAGTGAGTTTAGGGGCTCAAAATTGATTTAAAATGGATTAAAGGCGGATGAAATGGTCTCGGAATTCAAACGGCTCTATCTCGGGGCTACATTTTAGTCCAAAAACCAGGTTTTTAGCTCATCTAGGAGTCGAGGTCCAAAGCCCTCGAACTGGCGGTCGGTCCGCCGTTAGTCCGTCGGTGGCTCGTTTTGGTATTTTGGACTATTCTAACCGATATTGAAGCCGTTTTTTAAGCTCCAAAACAGGGTGAAAATAGTCTCAAGTTGACCCCGAATCTAGCATTCCAAAAATGCGCTAGAAAATTGGACTACTTTTGAGTGAAATGGTCCAAAAGTGCCGAAACGGACCAACAACGGACCACCGGCCGACAAAAATCGGAAAATCCGATTCACACCGTGCATTCCTGTTCAAAAACCAGGTTTCTAGCTCACCTAGGAGCTTAGGTACGGTCATTTGAAGTTTCAGGAGGCTGGAGACGCC